TTGCCCTTTTTATTTGGAGATAGTGTCTTTAGATAGGAGGCCAGGGCATGGCAATGTGGCTGGAGCAGTTGGCTATGACCTGACTAGAAAAGACATTTGTTAACCACCACGGGTGCAGAGCAGCAGCTCCTGAGCCTGAGGAGATCAAGCTGAACCCTGCAGTGGGTACCAGTCATCTAACACAAGAACACATTGAAAATGACACGTGATATCAATGTTCTGACATGAGAACAAGTGAAGCCAAACATCCAATACCAATTGTCCAGCGTGGGATCAACTGAGGCTGGATGGTCCAACTATCAAAGAGGACATGAAAAGACGGCAGCGATTGACTTGGCCACCACTGCCCACTCGTTTTTATGATGCTTCATTCTACTTGCTGGGTGCATCTTCTTCTTCCTTCGAAACTCCCTTTTCTCCTTGAGCACTTCTTTCCTTATTTTTGTCATAAGATAAATGTCAGTCTTTCACATTCACCAACTGTTCTGTCCAATTCACTGAATGGACAATAAGAATCCGGAAAGCACGGCTGGTTCCTTCACTACAGGCAGCTGTCTCGGTGACTTGTTCAAGCCGATCTTGGACTTGGGATCTTCTTGTCTCAGCTTCCAGAGTAGCTGGGATTACAGGCATGCTCCACGGTGCCTGGGTTAGCATGTGTTTCAGGTTTATCCATGTTGTAGCATATTTCAGAACTGCAGTCTTTTTTTTTTTTTTTTTTTGTGGATACGTAATAAGCCATTGTTCACCCATTTGTCCGTTTGTAGACACTTGATTTGTTTCCTTTTTTAAAAGATTTTTCTTATATGTGTTTTTTTTTTTCTTTTTATCGGTACCGGGGGTCAAACTCACGATCGCCTGCTTGCAAGGCAGGTGCTTATGCCGCTGAGCTAAATCCCCAGCCCCAAAAGATTTTTCTTTATCTATTGATTTATAACTGCAGTGCTGAGGACTGAACCTCGTGCCTGATGCATGGTAGGCGAACACTCAACTACTGAGTTACATCTCCAGCATGTCTTCCCTTTCTGACTAGTGTGAATAGTGCTGCTGTGGACATTAGTGTACAGGGACTAAGTCCCTGCGTTCAATACATTGTCCAAATGCACAGGATGTCTTAGTCACATTCCTCATCACTAGGACAAAACACCTGGCACCTGCAATTTAAAGGAAGAGAGGCTTTGCCTGACTTCAGAAGTTTCAGTTCCCATTCGGCAGGCAGAGAGGCTTGGACGGAGAAAAGCTGCTCACATCATGCAGGTCAGAAAGCAGAAAGAGAGGTCTGGGCCTTATAACCTGCTTCTAGCCAAGCTCTTGCTCCTAAAAGCAAGACAGCTATGGAAAGCACCTACATGATTGAATCAACATCCAAGAGCCCTGCCTCTGAGTGCATGAAGTTCTTGGGGGACATCTAAGTACAACATAAAACGCAGAATTAGAATTGCTGGATCAAATAGTAATTCCATTTTTAACTTTTTGAAGACCTGCCAATAGTTTTATAGAGTGGCCATACCATCTGTATACTTATCCTTCATCAGATATACAATTTACAAATACCTTCTTTCATTCTGTGGGCTGTTTTCACTCTTTTTTTTTTTTCCTGTACCGGGGATCAAACTCATGACCACCTGCTTACAAGGTAGGTGCTTATGCCGCTGAGCTAAATCCCCAGCCCCTATTTTCACTCTTTTAAGGGTGTTTCTGATGATTAATTTTATGATTAACTTGACTGGGACAACAGAGTGCCCAGATACTTGATTAAATGTTTCTAGGTAGAAGTTGCTGTGACCTTTGGGGGAAGCAGGGACTTGAGAGGAGGTGATGGGAGATTAAAAAAAAACTACAGACACAGGCTAAAAGGAAAACTGGGGCCAGATGGGACCGCTCTGGTGGAGAGCCAGTGACAATCTCTCTGCTCCAGCATCTTTATTTATACAGAGTAAAAAAAGGGGAAATGTGTGTGATAGGGTTGAGAGTGCAAGGTCTTAGTATTTTGTCGAGAACATTGAAAATGAAAACATTCTTCCAGCTATCTGTGCTACAGTTAACAAAGAACAGCAAGGCCGGACACCTGTTGATATGCAACTAAGCTAGAGGTCAACTCCTTTACAGTCTGCCTCTGGCATTCCTGTCCTTGAGACTGGCTTTGCTTTAGTCTCAAAGAATTACTGATCAGCCAGGGCTTAACTGCTTCCCACAGTAAGTGTGGGGGTGCTTCTGTAGATTTCCACTTCAATGGCTAGGCTGAATAAAACCGAGCCCTCTTCCCAATTCAGGTGGGCACAAAACAACCCACTGGGGGCCTAAGTAGAACAAAAAGGCAAGACAGGGAGAATTGGTTCTCTGTACCTTACTCCTGCAGCTTGGACATTGTCTTGTCCTGCCCTTGGCCTGGTATTCACACCATCAGTCCTTGTAGCTCAGGCCTTCCCACTTGGCCTGGAACTGTAATGCTGGCTGTCCTGAGTCATAGCATTCAGATGGCAGATCATGGGATTTCTGTGTCTTTACGATGCGTGCCAATTCTTTATAACCTCTCTCCTGTATGTTCTATCTATATCCACCACCTTATTGGTTGTCTTGGCGAACCCTAATGCAGGTGTCTTTTGATGCACAAGTCTTTAATTTTGATGAAGTACAATTTCTCCATTTTTGTTTTGTTTGTGCTTTCAAAATTTATTTTTTCTTGAGAGAAGGTCTTGCTATGTAGTTCAGGCTGGCCTTAAACTCATTTTGTAGCCCAGGCTCATCTGTAACTTGCAGCAATCCTGCCTCAGCGTCCTGGGTGCTGGGATTATAGGCAGGCGTGCACCATACCTAGTGATCTCACGATGCACTTTAGTACTTAATAGGACTAATCTCTTTGTTAATTTTTATTTTACAATCCCTCCTGGCTCTTTTTGCATGATCAGCTTTCCATCTGAACTTTAGAATTAGCCTCACTAGTTAAAATGAAATCTCCTTGGTATATTTATTGAGATTACATGTAGAGTTTGACACAGGGTTCATAGGCATCTTTATAATACTGAATATTCTTTAGGTGCACAGAGCTTTTCATAATCATGTCTTCTTTTTCCTTACACAGAAACGCTTTATAGGTAGTAATATTTGAAAGGGTTTTGGCCCAGGCCGGACACTGTAGCCGGTAAAGCCAAGGAGCGCATATCTCCCCCAGGCTTAGGAACCTACCTCTGGCACCAAACAAAGACCAATGGGCTACCTGTGCATCCCTAATGCCCCCTTAAGTTCCACCCCAGGCCGAGGCTACTTTATGTGCCTCACTCCACGTGTTCCTCGGAGAGATCGCCGACCCGGGGTGGAGATGCTGCGCCCCTAGGGGGGTCAGGGGTGTCTTTCCCCGCATTCTCAAAATAAAGGTTATTTATATTTCATACTTCTTATTTTTTCAGCCGCCGCCAGTCCCCCACAGTTCTATCAATATTCGTATTTAGTTTATTCACAGGTATCTTTTGAAATTATAAGATCTTCTTTTCTGTATTTCATGACATATGGTTGGTTACATGGCCATTTTCCTAGGATGCTATGTTGCCTGTCTTAGTGTGATGTCAAACAAAATAAAATGACCAGTCTGACTTTCAAGAAAATTTAAAAGCAAAATAAATCTTAAAAAAATACATAAAAATACCTAAACCAGGTAGCAGTAAAACAGTTTTTCCAGAGAAAAAGTTATGTGGCTTTTGATTAATTTGGAATTGTCAGTTTCCTGCTTTTTCATCAGCATTTGAAAGAACTGTTGAATTTGTATACTTTTCAAACTATTTTGTACAATTTTAACACCATTTTGAAACTATTATAAAATTTTTATAATCCAACAAGCAAATATTTGTCACGTTGCGGCTTGCAGAAGTCCAACAGACCTCAGTGCCACCTTCCATTAAGTCTCTCAGGATGAGACAAAGGCATTTGGGCAAATGATGCCCCTCCTCACTGATGAACTGGCCTCAGAGGAACGGCTCAGGTGCGCATGCCATCATGGGTGCCCTGGTGCGGCAACCTTGAGGTAGGCTCTGCCATCTACTGGCACCAAGTGACAACCGGAAGCCTCTCCCTTGAGGTCAGCCCTCCCACAGGGGTGACCAGGAAAGGCAGAGCACACACAAGCTTCTGTAAGAAGGCACCCCACAATCCCCCGCCCTTTGCTCGTTTGTTTCCACATCCAGGAAAGTGGGTAGGCAGGGCAAGGCTGGGACTGTCACAGAATGAAGGTTCTTCCACACAGGAGGAAAGCCCACAAGTGACAAGCAGGTTTGGTCCTTCAGTAGTAAGCAAAGCTGACAGGGAACAGCCTATGTTTAGGGATCAAAAATTCATACATGATTTTTAGACAGGAGTATCAAATATTGGATGTTGAAGTATGGGCAGAAATTTGAACTATATGTACTTTTAGCTCATTGTAGACCATCTTACCAGATCTAATCCAGAAGAGAACAGATCACAAAATACCTGACTTCTCTGTACATGAATTCAAGACTAAGAATTATGAGTAAATGATTGCCTATAACAAGAAGCTTTATATTCTGAGTACTTTTGTTTAAAGCCCTCTGTTCTGTTCCCTTTTTGTATGGGGGACTGAACTCAGGGGCTCTGCACTGAGCTATATGATCAGCCCTTAATTTTTTGGGACCAGGTCTTGGTAAATTGCCCAGGGTGGCTCAATCTTGCTATCCTCCTGCCTCAGCTTCCCAGATTGCTGTGGTTATAGGTGTCGGCTATCACACCTGGCTGCCTACCTTCTTTGAAATAAAGGCAGCTAATGTTGAAGTTCTGTTATTCACGTAACTACTGTGAGAACTCAAACAGTTAAAAATCTCAGTATTCAGAGGGGAGGCAGGTGATGAGTAGCTGAATCTGCTAGTTGTCGCAAGTTGTTCTAAGTAGAATCTAGCAATGGCTAAGTTTACTGAATGATTCCTGTGTGAAGGGTGTGTTATTCATGAAAATATCCTGAAAAATCTGTTTTTGTTTTTTTTTTTTTTTGACAGTCTTGCTATGTAGTTTAGGCTGGCCTTGAACTCAGTGATCCTCCTGCCTCAGCCTCTCCAGTGCTGCTGGGATTACAGGTGTGCGCCACACTGCTGGCCAGGATTCTGCCATTTCACTGCTGTTGGAGGGCATTCTGAAATCAGTCGTGGAATGGATGATTCAGGTGAGGTTGGCTAATTAAGGAAGTGGTATCCTGCAGTCGTGGCCTTCCCTTGGCCTCTGCAGTGGGCTCCTGCTTCTGGATTACAGGATCCAGACTCAGTGACGTATGGAGCACCAGCTCCTAACCTGCTGTGGGAAGAGAGGCCTTCTGGACAGCAAACAGAATGCTCACTGCTCAGAGACCATCTATGTACCAAGGCTCTTAGAACTCAGCCTGCTGAACTAGGATGAGAGGAATGGGAAAGCCTGGTGTGGATGTTAGGAATCCTAGGAATGCAGCTTGACAACAAAAGCACAGGCCCAGGGGCAAAGAGTTGAGAAACAACCACCACAGCCTCAGAGGCACTGCACTGCACTGCACTGCACAGGGCCAAGGTGTGCTGCAGGCAAGGCACAAAATAAAATGGGTATTTACAGATCCTCCCACTTCTATGTGGAATCTTACAACGGTAGGAAATACAGTGAACCCTGGGAAAACGGCTCGACAGGGGAGAAGTATGAAGACTCAAAGGAGACAAAGCTGTGGGAATGAGGGATGGGCTCAAATGTCCGACAAGAGTGGAGCTGGTGGTAGTGTGCCGTACTTGGGGCTTTCGCTGAGAGCACCCGTTAGGTGCACACAGACACGCTTGGAGACAACATGAGAACATGGCCACGTTAACTTACTTGGCCACAGTAATCGTTCCACCAATATATTTACATATATGTTATGGTACACATTTTAAGTAAAAAAAGAAAAAGCTGTTTAGTGCGCTTTGAAAGAGAGGAGTGTATTTCCAGCATCCTGAAAGGTGTCTGAAAACAGCTATTTAAGTTTGATAAAAGTGTTTTCTGTTTCTTTCTCTCAGACAGGGTCTCACTCTGTAGTTTAGGCTGGCCTTGAACTCATGATATTCCCCCTGCCTCAGCCCCTGTTGTTGGGATTACACGGCTTACTTAGTTTTTCAGCTGAAGTGCTTTCTCTTAGGATACCTGGCGAAGGAGGAAATCTTCCATGTGCACACCTGAAACAGCGCCGACTGCAAACTACTGGTAGGATGACGACTGATCCATTGCGTGGTCATTGCATGGAGACCCCATGGAAAGAATGACAGACATCGATTGAGGGCTCTCTGGGAACCTAGGACATGTGAAGAGTGACGCCTATAGAAACTGAGTCAAAAGAATTATCAAGGCTGGAATCATGCTCTTCCCCACAGTGGGAAGCATTCACTTACTAAGAGTCGGACCTAGGCCAGCACTTATGTCTAACTCAGTGTTTTCAAATCCCATGCTTCATACTGTACTCACAACACAAATGAAGGCTATCTTGATTAAACAGCTTCCTACTTTGGAATGAGCAGATATAATTTGGTAATTTAGTTTTATTTAATAAGTAGGGGACTGAAGTATTCTTCCAGGAAACAGTCACACAGACCTAAAAAATGAGACCTAAAATACCTGAGTCTTCAATAAAAGAAACTGATGCTATTTACTCAACCTGCGTTACTGCAACGAATCACATTAGAGTTCCAAATCAATGCCCTCAAGAAACTGAGACCGGAAACAATTAGATCTCAAATCTTTTAAAAAACTTAAAACACACCTTTTTCTTTTAGCACACAAAATAATTTACTCATAAAAATAATGCCTATTTATAGAACTCAACAGGAATTTTCAAAATTTAAAAATAAATAGCACAATTTTGCAATTCTTATTTTATAAGAACATAATCTTTCTGGCATGTAGTGTTTAAGCATCCATACTATTAGTCTTTCGAAATCAACTTGGTGACAAGAAAAATTCACAGCAAAAACTGAATTATTTCAAAAATGGGGTCTGGTGCCATCTAGTGAGTGACAACAGCAACGAGTACTCGAGTTGAGTATCAGCCACCAAGTATCACACCCTATGCTCTCGCTACATGCAATGCTGCAGGTGCTCATGCAGCAGGCCTGAAAGCTGTGTGCAACATGAAAAGCTGCGCTAAGATGACGGGGGTTCTTTCTCCTACATGCCACGTTAACTTTTACTATCAAGGAAGAGATGTTAATAGGTAGTTACATGGCATACTGGGGTGAGGGCTTTGGCAAATGGAGAAAACAAGAAATTCCAAAATCAACACTGTTACAGTGTCAGGCAGGAACTCATACTGTTAAATACCTGTTGGCAGTAATGTGAGTGGGGAACAACCTGCTCTGGTCCTTCAAGTTGTTTCTTTCAGCTAAAGCTCTCCAGAGAAAACTGCAATGAACTCACAGGACTGGTTCAAACCAGCCCAAATCACCCAGTCACTCTTCTGCCAGAGTACACTTTGCTCAGTACATGGTCTTAACAATGGGACCAAGACCTGTATTTACTTAGCCAGGTCTCTTCAATACTGTACAAGTGCAGCTGAAAGCTGGGCCTGGTGGCTCAAGCTTGTAACCCCAGCACTCTGGGAGGCTGAGGGAGGCAGAAAGACTGCCTCAAGTTCAAGGCCAGCCTGAGGGGCACAGTGAATTCAAGGGAGACCCTGTCTCAAAAAAGGTAGATTTCTTATAACACTGTATAGACCGATGAAGTTTTTGATAGTAACTTTGGGGAATGATTCCTTCCTATATAATGCCAGGTGCTTTTAGTACTGAGTATGCCTAAGACTTGTTCTTGTTTTTTTTTTTGTCTTTTTCATTTTTATCGGTACCAGGGATCGAACTCACGACCGCCTGCTTGCAAGGCAGGCGCTTATGCCGCTGAGCTAAATCCCCAGCCCCAAGACTTGTTCTTTGTTGCCCTTTCCTTTAACACTGCCCGTAACTTCTTTCTCATGGATCTCCCCCAAGAGGCTGGGCTTTATCCATTCTATTTATCACCATACATCTGGCGCATGTGATGTCTGGCACACATATGTACTTAATACATACAAGTTGGATGAATGAATAACACATGAATGAATCTTACACAGTCCAACTGATCTACAAGGAAAAGGGAAAAATTCTCATAAAAATAAAGAGAACGGTAGAAAGTTAAGCAACAATTCTATCAACTGGAGTTAGTAGACCTGATGTAAAACAAAAAGTCATCATTCAATAACTGATAGTATTTGGTGATTTCAACTGAAGTTAGCATAAAGGAAGACTCAATTACAGATCAGTTAATGTAAATCTGGTTACTACAGCAAGATGTAGTAGAAGCCGGTGCTCTGTCTGCTTCAGGCTGGGGCAGACTCTGCTGAATACACCAGGTGAGTGTCCAGAGTCCCATAGAGGGAGTGCAGCACTTTCAGGACCTTTTCTTGAATGGTGTCAACTTGTTCAGAAGGACAGTAATCATCCAGACTTGACCTGGAAGCCAGAGAAAGCACAAGAAGAAGAACGCACATGAAACAGGGTAAAATCATACTGTGCAGAGAGGAAAGGCCTGCCTGGGTCAGTGTCAACCTAACACCGACACGCAGGCAGGCTGAATTCCTGAACAACAACTGAAAGCGACTGTTTATCCTGTGTCAGGTGTTTACATGACTTAGTTCTCTCATTTTCTCACCAACTCTACACACCATCTTTGAAGAAATCTAAACCAAAGATTCAGTCGTGCAACGTTACGTAGCTACTAAGTGAGGTGGCAGGTCTGACTCAACTGCTACAGGGCTATGATCTCCCCCAAGAGGGAGAGATCACTGGAGAACTGGCGCCTGCCGTCTCAGTGGCCAGGCTTCGTCCTTCTTCTTCTGTCCGCACATGCAAAAGTAGGGCTTTCCACCTGGTAAAAGGGTCTTCTTCTATGACAATCTGTTAACTACACAATGTAAAGGATCCATGTCTTGGTCACAGATAAAATGTGGGTCGTGCTGTGCTAACACTGTCTCTTAGGCTGTGTGGGGGAAAGGAGTCAGTGGGTGGCGCAGAATGTACACCCTGGAGTCTTTCTAGATCTCACCAGGATCACCTGACTCGCACCGGCCCTTAAAGTAGTACTACTGCTTACAGCTGGATCGTGAGATCAGCGTCACCTGGTTCTGGGCACAGGTGGGGGAAGCCACTGGAGTACGGGCTGAGAAGAGTGACATAGAGAGCCCTGTAAAGGAACTGGAACTGGACGATAGCCTAATCCTTCAAACAAGTGTTTCTGACGTAACAAAAAAATAATCTGTAAGACCTTTGCAAATTCATTTCATTTTCTAGTGATCAGGTTACTTTTATGACCTGAGGTGAAAATTTAAGACACAGTAAGTAAATGACAGAGAGCAATTATCAAATACTGATATATAGTTATGTTATATCCTGAAAGTGTTGTATATAAAAATGTAAAGATTAAGTCTTTCAAATGTGAGATTTCAATATTGTCAAAATGTTGACTTCTTTTAGATATTTATAGAATCTATAATTTCTCTAAACATTATAGAATGGTTCCTGTTGGTGCGATGGAACATGCCTGAAATCTCAGTACTTGGGAGGCTGAGACAGGAGGCTCTCCACTAGTTTGAGGTTGGCCTAAGTTACACAGTGAGTTCAAGTCCACACTGAACTACATAGTGAGACACTGCCTTAAAAGACAAAACAAAATAAGATGTAACAGAATGGTTCTGGAGGGAAGTTACTCCTAAGAGGAGGTTCTAGAAATCTGTAAGTATATTTTTCCCTCAATTTTTTATTAGTACACGATTGCAGTACATAATGATTACATTCTCTGTCAAGAGTTTGTGGGTGTTACAACAGTCTCAATTCTTTTTTTTCCCTCTTCTCCTTTCCCTCAACATCCCTTCTCATTTGCAAAAGATCTATTTCCTATTTTCTATACTGTTTTTTATTTATATTTTGGGTTTCTTATATAAGAGAAGCCAAGAGATATTTAAGCTTTTGTGTCTGATTCATTTCACTTAACAGGTGCATCCATTTTCCTACAAATGACTCAGTTTATCCTTTATGGCAGTGTGGTACTCCACTCCATATAATTTCCTTATCCATTTATCTCCTGAAGGACATATAGGCTGCTTCAAAGATTTAGCGGTTATGAATCACACTGCTATAAACCCGGGTAATGTATCACTGCAATATGAGATCTTTAACTCTTGTTTATTACGGTAGCAGGGCCCACAGGCAAGTGCTTTATCACTGACGTACACCCCAGCTGGGTAGGTACATTTCTGACCATCATAATTTTTAGATGAATGCTATTGACAGTCAAGTGATCAGGACAAGGGGGCTGTAAGAGGCTTGTAAAATGCAGGAGAATTGAACATGCATCACTGTCCTACATATTTTTCAAGTTCACGAAATATTTGCAATTGTGAGAAATTGGTTTTAATTTATCAAGCTTAGAGCTCAATGGTTTTACATATGACAAAATATTTTTAAAGTGAATTAAAAATAAATAAATTTTTTAGGAGTATAACTACTCTGTGAATTGAGAGAAGACTGGATTTTTAAGTCTAGGTCTTTAATAAAGTTTGTTCAGGAATTGGAAAAATCATGTCATTATGGCAAAGTGGTACAATATATGTATCTGCCTGCACCTGTGATTGCTATGTTCGGTGACGCTTAAAGATGGGAGTCTAATGTGTCCTTTGATGCAGGGAGAGCCGGTTCTCTGCCTTTCCAAGCTCCGAGCAGCCGCCAGCACTCCTCAGCCTGGGCCCTGCTTCCCATCTTCCAGTCCAGCAGTGCAGCATCTTGCACACGTGTGTGCATGCGCTCTCTCTCTCTCTCTCTCCAATTCTGACTTTTTAGGACTGTTGTGATACTACAGGGCCCATCCAGATAATCTCATCTCAAAACCCCTCAGTGAATCATACAAGTTTTTTGTGCCACACAAGTCAATATATTCACAGGTTCTAGGGATCAGAATGTGGGCATCTTTGGTGGGTTGTTACTGAAAGGTTCTGTTAGCCTGGGTTTGGCTACATCCTCTCGACTTGGTACCGGAACCAGAGAAACAACTTATCTCTCCAAGAGTAACTTGCAGGCTCTCCGTCTCATTCCTGAGATAAACCTCCCACTCCCTTTTGTGCACGCACCGAGCCCTTGCCAGGCCCTTGCCAAGACTCCACAGACACCCAAGCCTCCACCTCCAGCCCTGGTAATTGTTTTACACAGGCAGATGCTCCTTCAAATCAGCGGTTAATGTCACTTTGCCCACCTCCCAAACTCCTCCCCCAGCCAGAACTGATGAAAGTAGTCCCACTTCTTTGTTCTCGTTTGAGATTCTCTAAACCCCTGCCCTGTGATGTTCTTTCATGCCCACCTCCTCATTTGTCTTATTATGTTTCTCATTTTCTCTGCACTGCTTCAGACTAAGTGCCCCAAAATACTCAGTTACTTAGCTTACCACACTTACCTTGCAATTGTCACAAGAGTAGGTTTTGGTAATTTTCTCAGTAAACAATATACAGACTGAATGAGGCACTCAATTTCTTGTTCTGTACTGATATGATGAGGAAGTTCTGAATAATCACAGGTTAGACCAGCTTGGTGAGCCTGAAAATAAGAATTAAAAATTGTAAGATTTTGATTTTTTTTTTTCTTTTTGAGGCTGGCCTTGAACTCACTTTGTAGCCCAGGCTGACTTCAAACTCACAGCGATCCTCCTGCCTCAGCCTCCCAATTTGCTGGGAGCACAGACATGTGCCACAGTGTCCGACCAACTTCATTGATTTTAAAAGATTCTTTAATTAGTAATGGCCCTTTTGACAAACCTTTTAATTTTTTTAATGGGATAGGACTGTTTCCGTCCTTAAGACATTGTAAGTCATGGGAGTTTTCTGCTCTCTGAGGTTTTGGTAGAACTGCCCACAAGCTCATCTGGACCTACTTTTCTAGCACTAGTATTTCATGAGTTTTTGATTATGGGTTCACTTAGTTTCTCTGAGTTCTGAGTCACTTTTGATAATTTAAAATTTCTGGAAAATTATATTTCATCTAGAGTTTAAAAGCTGATATAGGGGCTGGGGATTTAGCTCAGCGGCATAAGTGCCTGCCTTGCAAACAGGCAGTCATGAGTTCAATCCCCATACTGATAAAAAGGAAAAAGATGACAAAAAAAAAAAAAAAAAAAAAAAAAAAAAAAAAGCTGCTATAAAACTGTAATATTCTTGCTTTTTTCTTTTATCACATTACTTGCTTTTTAAATACAGGTACCTAATACTACCTTCAGAGCTTTGAGATGATAAGTCTTTTATTTAATGCATTATTTTCTTGTATATTCATTATGCATAATCATACACGGCCAGCATCTGTATGCTTTAAGTGTAAATGAATGGTGTTCTAGTCTTTGCATTAACATAAATATTCCTGAAAGCTAGAAAGAAAGCTCACAGGCTACTATCCTGCAATATCAGCTTGAATGTTTTGGCTTTTTCACGTTCCTTCCTAAAATCAAACCACCCAAGTGTTCTTACCATGCAACTACAAGCATATCACAGTTGACTACATAATCTGATGGGACACCTATCATTCCTTTCTTCGAAAACACTGCGCAGAACTCTCCAACAATAAAAAATTCTAGATGCAATACTGAAAGCACACCCGCTTGAAGATATAAAGTATGACATGAACTCAAAGCATTTTCAAAACCTGGGTGTCTTCCATCTCCTATTCTTAACATTCGTAAACAGGAGTGGATCTGGGAGTAACTCAGTATTAACCAAGAAGTTCTTTTGCTGATATTTTTATTCTTAAAAAGCAAGCATTAATAACTTAAATATCAGCTCAAATACAATGCTTTGATGGATCCCACAGATTTAAACACCTTTTACTGTAGCAAAAGAGGCACCAGACTAAGAGGAAGAGGAGGAGGAAGAAGAGGAGTTAAAGGTCTCAGAAGAATAAAATCTGAGAAGTCACCAGAATTTTTAAGCTTCAGTTTTCTCATTCCAAGTACTAGGTAAAACAACAAAAGAAAGTAAGTTTTGAAGACTACACAATGCTCTAAAAAATTATGATTTAATGTCTTTGGCCACAGGATTTAGGCCACTGTTGACAAAAAGAGCTGACATACTCCAAACGTAATAGCCACAGCTCTTTCTCTTTTTTTAAATTTTATTTTAAAGAGAGAGAGAAAAAAAAAAAAAACAGAACAAAACAATGTAAGCAACATAGGACTTCAAAACAAGACAACAGGAAATCAACAGTGGCAAGTGTCTCTTGCTTTCTTCAAAATAACTGTCCATAACTTCACTCACAATGAATTCAAACAAAATGGAGTAATATAAAACCAATCAAAAGAATAAAAGCATTACAGGCCTTCAAAACCAGACAATAGGAAAATCAACAGTGCAACCATAGTCTCATTTTCTTCAAAATAGTTGTCCATATCTTCACACGTACTGCAATCAAATAATAAAAAACAAACTAAAACCCAATCAAAACAAAGAATAAATGCAATATTGGACTTTGAAACAAGATGACAGGAAATCAGCAATGGCTACCATACTGTCTCATTTTCTTCAAAGTAGCTGTTAATACCATCATATGTAATAAAATCAATTCTTGTGAACTCTTTAGGAGAAGTTCTAGGCATGTATAAGCCTATGCTTGTACCTCAATCCTTTGTGAATTAGAGGGAAAAACAAAACAAAACAAAATACAAGAAAAGATAGACTTCCGGGAGAACATGGCGGACAGATAACAGCAACTACCGGAGGCTCTCTGAAAGACTCGGCTCAGAAGCCAGGAATGGTGCGGACTAAGGAGACATAAGCAGGTGGAGATATGCTCTGCTGACTCAGGAACGAACTGGGCTGAGAGAAACCAACTTGGAATGCAGTCCTGGTGCTAGAACAGGAACAGAAAAGCCTCAGTGTGGAGGCTGGAGCCTGTGCCACTGGAAGCCGCGGTTTGGGTTTCCCGCCGTGTGGCAGCTGCATCTACATCGGCTCGGCAGGGAGAGAGACGCACGGAAGCTCTGAGAATGGAAATCTGCGAACGGAGTGGAAAACAGGACGGGCAGGGAGGCATGCACTGACTTGTGGTGAGGTGAGTGAGAGAAACTGACACTCTACCAAAGTTTGACTCCAGCGGAGGACATTCTGGGACTGGGCAGACTTGCAGGAGCAGGGCGCTGTGGCGACTTCAGCCACATATCCCCCTCTCAGGCGGGATTGGTGAGAAGTGCCTAGCCTATGTGACGCTGCTGGCGGACCCAGTAGACTAGCCCAACCCAGATCCCAGAGCCTGAGAGGGTGGGCTGGAGGGGCAGGGCCCTGAGTAGGCTGCCTGGTCTACAATTTCCTGGTGTGTTGCGGTGGGCGGGAACACCTAGCCGGCCCAATTCCATCAGGCTGTGGCTGACAGGGAGGGAAGCTGGGCCTCCTATATAAGCTTGCATATATAAGGAACAAAGAATATGGGAAGAGGCAGCAACAAGAAAGGCTCCTCGGCCCCTAATCCTGAGAAACAGGTAAAAGCGGACACCGCACCAATAGACATAAAGCGCCATCTAGAGAGCCTCATAGATCAACTCAGGAATGAAGTTATTAATGACCTGAAGCTAGAAGTAAGCAGAATAGTTAGAGAAATGCTAAGCACCACCCAAGAAAAAACGGATGGTGGAATGGAAGAACAGAAAAAGAGGGGAGAATTGTTTGATGGAGAAAATAGAGAAAGCATAGAATATGTGAAGCAGGTTCAAAGGGACTACCAGGAAACTAAAAACTCTATTGAAAACTGGCATAACAGCTTGAAAGAAACTAAGGACAGACTATCTGAACTGGAGGGCAGATTTGTAACATGGGAGAATGAAATGAAAAACTTCTTAAAAATAACAAAGAAACAAACAGCAATAATACAAAGACAAGAAGATGATAAGAGGATCCATAACTTAAGAATTAAGAACATAAAAGAAGAAGTAGGGACACAAACAAATGAACTACAAAAGCTACTCACGGAAATAATCCAGGAGAATTTCCCTAATTTAGCAAAAGGTAAAGATACTCAGATGTATGAGGCATACAGGACCCCAGCCACCTACAACCCAAACAGAGCAACACCCAGGCATATAATAATAAAAATTCCAGAAATTCAATACAAGAACAGAATATTAAAAGCTGTAAGAGACAAGAAACAGACCACTTACAAGGGAACACCCATCAGAATTACAGCAGATTTCTCTGCACAAACCATCAAATCACGAAGAGCTTGGGGGGAAATAATTCAAGCTTTGAAAGATAATAATATCCAGCCAAGATTGAGATATCCTGCACAACTGTCCCTGGAAATTGATGGAAAAACAAGGTGCTTCCAGGATAAAGAGGAACTGGGGGAATTTGCAACCACCAATTCAACTCTACAGAGAGTATTGCAGGATATTCTAAAAAAAGAAAAATACAAAGAATCCAGAAATAGTGGCGGGGAGGCCACAATGAATGGAGTAGAGAACAAAATGAAGAAGACAAACTGACAACTAATGACAGAAAAAGAGCTCAACAGAAATGAGGCAGAGAAGATTGGATGATAGGATCAGCTATTTTGGAGAAAATGACATCTTAATAGGTAATACTGATTTAGTATCATCTTGTTTTGAAGTCTCATCAAGCTTTTGTTCTTCTGTCTCCATTGGTCTAAACAGGTTGTATCTTATTCCATTTTATTATGTACGATAGTATAAGCAAAAACTTTTAAAGACAAGGAGATTGTACAGAAACCATTGTTCATTTTCTGTTAGTTGATTCTAAATACCCTTTAATGCTGTCATTCTCTTAAATGGTTTTACATTGTTTTGATATATTTAATGCTACAGTATACGAAGTTGTACTCAAGGATTTCAAGGAAAGAGACAATATGGTAACTACTTTTATGTCAGGATTATCTTGTGGTGAAACACTATTCTGCTTAAATGGTTATGTTTTGATCTGCGCTGTTTTGCTGTTATGCCCTCTTTTATCTCAATCTCCACTCCATTATTTACTTTTTTATTTTTATCCTTTTAATTAAAGGAAAAAAATAGCAGGATATATTATAGTAACCCCCTTTGACTTTCCATTATCTTGATTTAAAGCCCTGTATTACTCTCACCATCTTGTTTTTGACTGATGTCCCCCTCCTATTCTGTTTTGCTGGATAGTACCAGGTTCGAAAGTTTAGGCAACAGCTTTGAAGATAGTGAGATTCATTATGACGCCCATTCTCGTTGACTTTTATCTACTTTTGAAGACCTACAATGTCTCCAATGTTTTGGTTTTGTCGGTTTTGTTCTTTACTGTTTTGTTCAATTTTATTATAACTGATGATATAGGCAATTCTATTACAGATAGCGGGAGGCATTATGGTAACCATTGTTGATCACCTTGTATTATGTTTTTACATTATCTATTATGTCCACCTTTTTGATTTGACCGACTCTGTTTTGTTATGTCACATTTGGTTTTACTCTCTTCCAAAAAAGTAATAAGAACCGTGGGAGCAATAAAGCCCAAAATGTGTAATAGTCATTGTACAAAAGAGAGGAAAAGAAAGTGCTCTAAATGATATAACTTGCATGTATATTTAAGTGTATAAGATAGAAAATGATATCACTGAGTTTTATTGGATCACTGAACAGAACTGTTTGCAGTATCATTGTTGGAATGTCCACTCTACAAGCTTTAATTTTGTGACTTGAACAATTATTTCTAAGATGACAATATGTAATCCATTAACTAGTGATTTCCTACTGTTTATTTTTTTCTGTAAATCTGTATAACTTGTACCCTTTCTCTGCTTTTTTTTTCTCCTTAAGTAAAATTAAAAAAAAAAAAAACAAAATACAAGAAAAAACAAGAAACGAGACAAATAAATAATAATTACAAAGAGCCCCCCAAAATAAAACAGGCTTTAAAAACAAGCTGATAAATTTGCGTAATTATCTTCAAAAATTACTAGATTACCAGCTAGTCATGCAAAACTGATCTAATCCTACAAATGTTAACTGTTTTGTTCCAAGAACTAATAGAATTAGAAAAAGAATCATCTTACCTATCTTAAGTATATATTTACAAATTTATATCTTTTTTCTTTTCCCTTCCTCCTTTTTTCCTTTTCCCTGAGTTATTTTTTTCCCCTCTGAGGAGTTTCTTACACCTTCACAATATTCACTAAAAAGATTTTGTATCTTACTTACTCTTTCAGTTTCTTACTCTAGGTGACAACATGGTATTTACACATGTGGGTTTATTTCACTTTTGAGTATGGTCTCAAGATGCATCCATTTACCTATAAAAGCCTCAATGTGATCCTTCTTTATAGCTGAGTAGTACTCCACTGTATAAAAATACCACATCTTTTAAAATCTATTTCTCAGTCAATGGGCATTTAAGTTGTTTCCAAGATTTAGCTATTACAAATTGTACTGCTATAAACATGGGTGTACATATCCTATCTTTTCTCTTTTGGTTTCTATAATCACTAACTTTTTAAAAGTACCTGCCTGGCAAGTGTGAGGTCATGAGTTCAAGCCCCAGTACCCAAAAAAAAAAAAAAAAAAAAACCAAAAGAAAAAAGAGAGAGAAGAAGAAAAGACAAAAGGAATATAGACTGGAATCAATAAGAAATTTTGAAATTACTCTTTGGTGGAGAGAGTTCTATCAACAAAATTGAAAAAGACTAACAGTAGTTTTGCATCATATATAAAATTGAGAAAAGAATGGTTTCCCTAGAAAACTCTTGCAGTATTCTGGTTTCTAAAAACAATGTTTTTTTTTTTTTTCACATTTCTTTTCTCAGTAATTAAGGAACACAAATAAAAAACATTTTAACAAAAAATAAACTGTTCTACTAAAAAAACTGCCTTTTTAAAAAAAGGTCAGTTTTGCACTTTAAGAGAAACATTTACCATTTCATAGTCAGGCACTTCCGTCCGTTTTTTCAAACTCTGTACAAGTGGAACTAGTGATTCCATTCTGGAAAAAAGCCAACCCACTGAATTAGACACCACAACCACATCGACTAACATTGTGTAGCAAATGATACACTTAACGCCCACCATGCACAACATGCTGCTGTGACATTTAGGAATGAAAGATAAAGTTGCTTGAATATCACCTTAAAATACAAGAAATCAATGTTCTTTACTGTGTTACCAGGTTTTTGTGAGCTATTCTCGCCCCCACCATTCCATCCTGGTCTCCCTGAGCCTCCGAGCCCACCACAGGGCTGCCTGCAGGTGCTGCCGAGCTACCTGGCATGCTCCCGGTCTGGGGAGGGGCTGCTTTAAGCTCTAGACCCTGGATTCTAAGGTAGCTACAAGTGATTTCTAACACTGTTTATTTTAAACTTGGCTTGAGACTTTGTGAAGTCACAAAATAGTGGGTACTCTTCAATACTTCTAGAACTCATATTTGTAATGCTTTTCTCTTCCTCTAATTTCAAAAAAACTAATTTTAGATTCCCTACACTGGGGGCTGGGGATTTAGCTCAGCGGCATAAGCACCTTCCTTGCAAGTGTGCAGTCATGAGTTCGATCCCTGGTACTGATAAAAATGAAAAAGACAAAAAAAAAGAATTTCCTATACTGAAAAGACATTAGCTGATGTTAAATTGTCTGATCAGTATTTGCCAAAAATGTGACTAAACTATTATAAATTATTTTTCCACACCACTGCTTTCCTAAATGACAACTATGCAAGCTTTGTGATATTTACATTTCAGGAATATCTGAATATTTGAAAATAAAATTTACAGGGAGTATGCTGAATTGCAAACAAAGGTGTCTTTTAGCCAGGATTCCTTGCTCCAGAGGCAACCACGATCCTGTACTGCATCCTCTCTATCCTCAATTTTTAAACTTTGAGAGAAGATCTTAGTAAGTGCCCTAGGGTTGCTATATTCCTATATTTCAAACTTGCTATATTCCTGCCTCTGTTTCTCAGAGTGGTGGCATTAAAGGCATGTGCCACCATGACCTGCTCATTGATTAATCAATTTCAGTAAGCATCACATGACAAATCTAAGGGGTTGTTTATATTCTGACCTAAACACACTATGATTCTAACTTCTGATTGTATGTTATAATACAACTGATGTCTTATAAGAAACTGTTCACTGTAGTTTGTGGGTGACTAACTTTTAAATAAGTCTGGTCTTCCCATGTGTATGAGGATACAAATTTTATCTAATGGCTTATAGTTTTTTGGTCTAGTTAGAGAAAAGTAACTGTATTTTTCCACGCCAGGTTTCACAGGACTTTTTATGTTTTCAAAGTAATGCTGACCATGTGAAAATCATGTTGACATAAGTGATTAGATGAAGAATCTGGTCTTCAAACCTTCCTCCCTCATGTCGTGAACAGACTGAAGATAAACTCCATTACTTATACCAAGGCTATCTTTTTTTTTTTTTTTAAAGTCGACCTAGAACCGTCCATATTTATAGGGAATCATGCAGTACTTCTATTCATGTAAATATTATGTGATCAGATTAGGGTAACTGGTACAAATATTCATTTCCTCAAACATTTATCATTCTTTCATTGAGCTAGTCTTAAAGGGCAATTTTCTTTTTTTTATTTTTATTTTTATTTTATTTTATTTTTTTTTTAAAGGGCAATTTTCTTATTGCAATTTACTTGTCAAGTAATTTACTTCTCTATTGATAGGTTTACTTTTTTTTCTTTCTTATTCTACTTAGAACAGGGACTACCCAGGTACTCATTTTTAATTCTCTGTATGTTCTACCATAACATGCTTAGGGTCAGCACTTACACAACTACATGTCCACTTATGATGTGACTTTGGGAAATCTACTTACACCGTGCCTTCGTTTCCTCATCTATTAAATGAACACAGTAATAATGTATCCATACGTTATTATAGGGAAAACAAGGACACAATTCAAGGGAAATCCTTAGATACAAATCACACTAAAAACATTCAATAAATGCTACTATTGGTGTTGAAATAGAGTAGTAACTCTTTTGTTCTGGCAATGGGGATTAAATCCAGGGCCTTTACACTGTGCTAAAAACCTAACCCTTTTTTCTTTGAGGAGGCATCTTGCTAAGTTGCTGTCTTGGTTAGTTTTCTCTCGTTGCCAAGGCAAAAGGCTTGATGCCCAAAATGATAGAAGGAAAAGTTTAGCTTACATTTTTGAAGGTTTCAGTCCATACTTAGCTGGTTCCAAGGCAGGGTGGTGTGGCATAAGGGGCAGCCATTAATGTTGGCAGCAGGTACCAAAGGCGACAAAAGCAAAAAGGGCTAAAGGGGAAGCATGCTTCCTTCCCTCCCTTACACTGGTGCTGCTACCTGCTCCTGGATGGGTGCAGCACTCACACTGCCACTCCCAGCACCAGACAGTGAACCAATCACAAATGCTAGACTCAGCTGCCTTTGAAAGGCCCACCACTCATGACCACATGAAGCTTTGGGAAGACATCCAAACACAAACCACAGTAGTTGCTAAGCTGCCAAGGCACGACTCTTAACTTGCAATCCTCCTCTCCTGCCTTAGTGTCCCAATGTGTGTGTCGCCAAACCAGGTTAAATAGTCATTTTTAAAAGCAACTGATCTAACAAATTTAGGAATATAGTTAGGACTGAAAATTAGCAGATTTGGAAACAAAGAAAACGTTTTAGAGCCTTACCCTGGGTTTGAAGCCCATTTCTGTACGGTTTCCTCATCATCACCATCACACAAATCAGCAAAAGCTGCCTCTAAGTCTTCCAATTGACGAATTCGAGTATCAACGATATCTACCAAATCTTCCTTTAAATATATTGAAAAGCTGAGAATATACAGTTATTCTTTCAAAAAACAAGTGAAATCTTGTTATAATGAAAAAAACGCATTATTTCATATAATGAGCTTGACCAATAAACATAGATGCACATGTGTGCACACACACACACAAAATTCAGACAATCTTTTAAGACCACGCTAATAAGTTACAAGACACTACTCAACAAGTGATAAATGCGTAAAATCCAAAAGAAACAAACGGTGGGTACCTCAGATAGGTTACTAGCAGGCTTTTTAAATTGGTAGAGCTCTTGTAAGATTTTGTATTCCTCCTAGAAAACAAAACAGCTAACGTTAATTTTTTTTCAGTGATATGCTTTAAGTGAAGGACAGACTTCTGTATGACAGAGAGCATCTTAGAAAATTTATGATTTGTTTGGGACAATCAGGCAAAATGTATACTACAGATTTCTATTGTAAACAGAAATTCCTCAGGGCAACTCTTACCCAGCTGGCAAGGACAATGAAGTCTAAACAGTCACCACAGAACACTGGGTAGCTACACCAGTTAGGAGATGAAAATAACACCCCATCATGTAGATGGATATATTCCAGGATCTTAATAAACTTTAGCTGTTTATAAAAAATGGAGCACAGACACACAGCTGGAAGCACTTAGCAACCACAAAACCTGTGTCAGGAGGTTCCACACTAAAGAAGATGCCTGCTGTCCCCGGACTCTGTGGGGTAATACCTCGCTCCTCTTGGTTGGCACAACCAGATAGTTTCATTACATAGTGAATACATTTAGTCCAAATAAGCCTACTTAAGGCTACCGCTAGAAAGAAGTCATATCTAAGAACTGAAACTTACCAAACACAATGTTTAGCATCATGCCCAGTGCTTTATTAACCCCAACAATCATAGGACTTTTTCAGAGTTAGGGATCAAACACGGGGTCTTGTTACATGCTAGGCACGTACCCTAACACTGAGCTATCTCTTTGACCAGCCAGGCGTGACTATTATTCCCAGTTTACTTATACTTGAAAGACTGCAGATACAAGATTAAGTAACTTTCCCAAGATGACAGTTTATAACAACAGATGAAATAAACAGAATTCTCTACTATCTTTTTCTATATTAAAAACATACCTACCAAATTCTAAAGTTAAATAAAGATTGAGTATCCATTATCCAAAATGCTTAGGACCAAAAATATTTTGGGGGAGTGGTATTGGGGATTAAATATTGGGGATTAAGCCTTTGGACTATGCTACACATGTTCAGCCTTTTTTAAAATTTTGAGATAGGGTCTTGTTAAGTAGCTTAAGGTGCTCAGGCTGGGCCCAAATTTGTGATTGTCTTGTCTCTGCCTCCCAAAGAACCTGGATGCCCCACCAGGTTTTGGAGATTTCTGGATATTCTGAATTGACATAACTAGTGCATTTCATTGTGGTTCTCAAAAGACACTGAATTTTGGATTTTGGAATTAGGGAGGCTCAAGCTGTAAATAATTTTATTTTATTTTTTTTGATAATTTTAAAAGATTAAAAAGAAGAGTTTGTGGCATAGTATAGCTTCCAAAACCTAAAATAATTACCAACTGGCTTTCTACGTAAAGTTTCTTATGCTCAAATCTAGAGAAATGCCATACAACTCTCAAGATCTATGTTTTAAAAAGTATCTACCTGACTGAACATTTCTTTGAAGGGATTCTTGACTGAAAAAAAATCTAAGTCAATATCTAAAACAAATGCATCGTTGCTTTTCTTCAAAATTTCCAGAATCTCCTGAGTGCAGGCTGTGGTTGGACACTGTTGACTTTCGAAAGAACAAAAACACAAAGATGACGGCTCTTGGCACGCTTGGCCCGTGCTCTGTGCCCCCGCGTCCTTCTCCAGTTCTCCTGAAGGACAGTCACAGTGGACAGCGGCAGTGTTTTCCAAACCTTCCGGTGCCAGCTTGGGCTTCTTTGCAGAAGGTACTGCAGCATCTTCTCCTTGACTGGCACAAAGTTCATGAGGTTTCACCATAATTACATCCAATTGTAATGGTTTTTGGTGCTCCAGCTGGTCTTCAGGAACAAAGAGACCATCACTTAGGAAGTAATGATCTGTGCTTGTGACCCTGGATCAGAGAAAAAATTATTTTAAAGGAGAATGGACAAATTAGCTGACATTTTGCTATGGTGTTACAGATTCAAGAAGAGATATATTTGACAAAAATTGTGAGTCATCATAAGCATTTGTTCTTCCTGTTCTTCTGTAGAAATATCATTCTCTATATTCTCAGCTGGGCACTCACCTGCCCAAAGTGAAGAGTACAATTCAGAGGCCACCTATGGCCACTTGAGTAAATGCTGGCCGTGGCTCTGAATGGAGGCAAAGTGTCCTGAGCCTTGCTTTCCTGCTCTCCGCTGCCTGACAGCAAACTGAAGAGGCAAGTTACCTTGGAGTAGAGGACACTCAAGACAGTACAACATGAACACAAAGAAGAGTTCCCCCACTGTGGAGTTGCCATGTAGGGCTGGACTGTGTATAGTGAACTCTAACATCAGAAAGAAAAAAATCCCTTTGTTTAAGCCAGTGCTACTCTGGTTTCTTTCAGACCAGCTCAATCTGTATCTGAAAGCACTTAACATTAAAGTTATAACTTGAAATAATTTCTCTTAAGAGAAGCTCCATCATCAGAGTAGGTTTTATTAAACTCCATACAACTATATTTTCAATGCGAAAATCAATTTTAAACTATCCATGCACTTGGAGCACACAATCCACAGGTTGTAGACCGGTCTCTCTCTTTTTACTCTTTTCCCTTTCCCCCTCTCTCTACTCTCCCTCTCTCACCTATCACTGTGTTGCCCAGGCTGGACCCTCAACTCTTCGCCTCAGGGGAGCCTGGGGATCCTTCTCCCCAGTATCCAGGACTACAGGCATGCCACCACGTCCAGTGGAGTTTCTGATTCCAGATATACTGGCATGTTCTTGGCATTTCAACTATATTGTGCCTTGCCAAATACTTACATCAGTAGAGTCAGTATTTCTTCCAGAGATACCCTTATCAAGCAAAAATGACAGTATTCACTTCCCACCTGCCCACACCTAGCACAATTGTACAAAAAAATATTTATGCCATTATCAACTGATGTTCAAGCTTATTAAAGACCATACCATCCTAAGAAACACAAAGGCTTTATCCCCAACCTAAATGTATGTTGTCTGCAGTAACAGAAATTTTACATTTATCTTGTTTATATAATGCACGTAGAATCTCAGATTGCATATATGCAGTGCTCATTCAATAAATTTTTACTTGCAGGATTAACTAAAATCATAAGATAAATACTCCAAATATTGTTGTTCAAATGCTGTGTCAAATCATGTAAAATTATTTCATTTTGCATTTTAAATTAGGCGCACTCACTTATAAAATTTACTTTCACTTAGACCAGTTTTATTATATTGACTCCTAATCTTTCTTTCAAATTTTATAATACATCCATATCACATTTCATACCATAACAAAGTTATCTGTGCAAATGATAACAGCACATCCCAGTAAATTTATGTTAATGCAGGAATAAAAAGTATCATTTTCAATAAGAAAGACTATTTCACTTTCCATGTATTACTATTTTATCCCACTAGTCTTCAAATTCTAGCAAGTTGTGATTATAATGCTTAAAATAGTCATCTCAGTGCAAGAGAACTTACAAAGTGCATACTGATAGTTTAAAAATTGTTATAGTATCACAATATATAAAAAACATTGGTTAAATAGGTTATACAACAAAAACAGGAACATGTAACTCAAGTCAGAAGAATTGAGACTAATAATTAACTAAAACTAATCATATTAATAAAATTAAAACTTACAATCTACCAATTTAGTCTTTGGGGATTTATTAACAACAACAAAATCCACCCCAAAAATAAAAACACAAACTTACATAATTTTGCTTTCTCATTTCTGTTAAACTTAACACATTATATTTTGGAGGGTTAAGGCTCAACCTGACCCTATTTGTGTACAGAGATTAGGAAGTTACAGGAAACCAAAGTAAGAAGAAGCACTCAGATCCTTTCACACTTATAAATATGAGATTACCTGATTGTCGTGGTCGAAGTATCTTTGCCTACAAAAAAATGGTGTCTTCCCTCTCTGATTTGTTGTGCCCACGTGGGATGAAGCCACATGACGTGAGAAAAGTGGCCAGCATAAACTGCAGGCATAATCCAATTTTCAATGCTTAACTCTCTGGAAAAGAAAGAGTACCATTAAAATGACGATGTATTTTCCTGAATGTCACTTCATCCACGGAATTTTTTATTCATCCAAAGAATTCTAAGATAGCCGGTCCCAGAGTATGGTGCCTCGGGAACCTTTTTCAGGATGCCCACTATTTTCTTAAACATACGAAGGTATTATTTCTCTTTTTTATTGTATTGACATTTGTCCCAATGGTTCAAGAGCAGGAATGAGTTGATACCCTAAGAGCAATCAATACAACAGCACAAAATCTATATGTAGTCATTGTTATTTTCCATTATGAAGGATTAGTACAAAAAAAAAAAGTAGCAGCAGCTAGCTTCACTGAAGACTACTCCTGATTTTACTGATGATTGATTGTGAGCACATATTTTTAAATATTCTGTGTGGCAAAACAGGTGCATAGAGATCACTTCTTGAAGTACAATGGTTGCCCCAAAGAAAAGCATTTGTGTTTCAACTGTAAACCAAATATCATTTTACTTGAAAGAAGGCATGATCAAAGCCAGCTGTGGTGGTGCTCCCAGCACTCTGGGAGGCAGAGCAGGCTGGCAAGTTCAGGCCCAGCCTATGCAATTTATAGCAAGCTGGCTAGAACTTGTCTCAAAGATAAAAAAGGGCTGGAGATACAGCTCCGTGCAGAGGCCCAGGGTTCAATCTAACACCAGAAAGAAAAGGAAAGAAAGAAACAGTGATCAATAAAGTATTTTTATTTAGACTGAAGGTTGAACTGTTAGGGTTTCGATTCCAGAAGGCTTTAAGGAACTGTCACCTGTCAAGTTTTAGTGCAGTATCAATAAATATTTATAAATATCTGAAAAGTCTATGAAAATTCCTTTTTCTCAACTGTATGTCTGGAGAGCCTGGACAGTCATCATAAAGATAAGCCAAAGCATACGGTGACAGATTGAATACAAAAACAGGTATAAAAACCCAGCAATCTTCTATAAAGAGAAATATTAAAGAAACCCACAAGAAGTTAAACTGTTCTCACTTAAGATTTTAATTTTTTTTTAAAATGTAGACAGGGTCTTGCTATGCAGTGCAGGCTGGCTTTGAACTTACTGTATAGTTTGAACTCACGGTGATCCTCTGGCCTTAGCCTCTTGAGTGCTGGGATTATAGGAGTATACCACCATGCCCAGCACTTACGGTACTTTTAGTTTTGAAAAATATAGTTTTCATAAATGATCTGGTGTATGTCAATACCTAAAGCATATCTGCTTCATTTTTTTCTAATTTGTAAAATATAAAACTTCCAAATATAAAAGCAAGTAAGGACCAACAGTAGAGCTACCACATTTCTTTAGGAATTAGTGTTTTGGTAGTGCATGCCTGTATCTCAGCACTTGGGAGGCTGAGTTAGGACTGCTACAAGTTCAAGGATGGCCTGTGGTACGAAGTGAATTCAAGGCCAGTATGAACTACATAAGAGAGACCCTGTCTCAAAAAGAAGAAAAAAAAAAAAAAAAAACCAAAAAAAAACCCAAAACAAAGAAACCAAAAAATTAATGCTATGATTTGAGGTAGTATTGCGATTTGAGGTTTTGGAAAAGGTCAACTGAAAGAGATGAAGGCAGGTAAAATTAATCAATTAACAACTGTATCCAAGAAGGAATAGAGACAGAATTTCAGGGAACTATATTATACAGAAAGAGGGAAGTATGTCATCATGAGAGATATATTAGATATGATCCTCTCTGAAGGCAGAGCAGTAATTCCCAATTCCAATTCCATCTCTATGATTCTATACAACTAAAAGCCAATAGGATTTGTGAACCAAAAATAAACTGAGAAGGAAAAGGAGCTCAATAGTTGAATAAAGGATACATGAATTAAGATGTGCTGCTTAGGGCTGGGGATACAGCTCAGAAATGCAGCGCCTGCCTGGCAAATGTGAAGTTTGATTAGTGGTACCCACTTTCTTCAAAAAAGTTGAATACACATTTCCTTTAAAAAAAAAAATGTGCTGCTCATATTACTATTGAACTGCATCAGTAAGACACATTTTCTAATATGTCAGTATTCAGATTTTAACAGAGAGAACAAGGGAGAACTTTCCCAGATCACTAGTAAAGTCTTTTCAAATTGTGTAAGTGCTATACTCTAAAAGAGAGCTTAGCAAATAATAGCTGGGCCATTTTTCTAGATAAACTTTTATGAAAACACAGTTCTTGCCTTTTGTTTACACAGCATGTATGGGCTTTCACATAACAAAGACAGAAGTAGTGATTACATAGAATACATGGCCAGCAAACTGAAAATATTCACCATCTGTTTATTTTTTTTTTATCTGACTCTTTTTAAGAAAACAATTGTTGTAACTTGTTCTGAGTAAAATGAAAAAGGCAAATAAAAAGTGAATCTAAGGATTTGGTGAAGTCTGTGTCCCTTGACTGTTTATCATATACTCCAAAAAAAAAAAGGTATATTTTTCAAAAAAAAGCATACCAAAAAAAGTATATTTCAAATACATATGTTATGGTTTGCGTCTACATGTTCCCGAAACTAAAGATGGTCACAGAGCTGTTTCAAGATGGCTGAATCTAGTGTGTGGCTGATTCACAATGCAATGCTGGGATTCCAAATATAAATGGGTGGGTGATTAATGGATCAGTCCACTGTCTGGATTGGCACTGCCCTTCATCCTGGTAGACTCGATGCACTATAAGGGACAGAAAGAGGCTTATCTTCCTCTCTTGCTTGTTGCTTTTCCTGTCTTCTCCCATCATGAACTGTTACCCTCTGCCATGTGCCACCCTGCCTTGGAACCAGCTGATTACGAACTGAAACTTTTATAAACTATAAGCTAAATAAACCTTTCACCCTTTGAGTGTCCGGTATTTTGTCTCAGCAACAAGAGAAAAGTAACTAGGACAAAATAAAAGACTATTAATGAAAATCACATTACCCAAACAGTGTTTCCTTGTCAAATACGGTGTCTGCTGGCATATTCACAGGAATTAGGAGGTCTGGATGGGAGTCGAAGTGTAAAAAACTTATATTACTGGCAGGAAGATGCTTTGATCCTATAGCCCGATATATGGAAGGCAGAACCTGTAAAAGACACACGTGCAGATTCGGAATTGGCACTGGAATCACGAGCACACTCAAGTACAGACAGGAAAAACAACATTGAATGTAACTGCACATAATTTGAAGTACACCAAATTGTTAAAAGTGGGAAGAATACAAAATTGGTTAGTGGTAGATGGTTCAAATGAACCCTATTTTTTCCTGAGAACTTCCAATTTGATCTCTAGGTGTCTTCCGGCCCTCATCTCAAATCCAATAGTTAATTCAGGAAAGCAGATCGGCACTAGGGCTCAAGAACAGTTAATGCCCATTCTAGCACTAACTGTTTTTAGTTTCCCAGATCTTGGGGTCTTTTCAGTACCTTTGGGGTGTCAGCGTTGAGTTTGGCAGTTTGTAAGGTTCTTCGCTCCTTATATCCTCTAGAGTTCGAAGAGTAACACTGAATTTGAAAGTACCACCTCACCAACACTTTGGTCCTCTCTTATGCTCATAGACGGTAGCTCTAGGTCCCGGGAAACCCAACTCTTTGTTTTCTCTTAACTTTCTCCACCAGTACATCTCTCTTCTTCTTTTTAAAAATGTATTTTGTATGGTGCTGCGGATCGAGGTCAAGCATTTAAGGCAAGGGGTTTATTACCTCTCTCATTTTTTTTATATCCAGAAACCTCCACGGTTTTTGTTACTATTAAACAAATTCCTCAGATCTATGGATCTCCTTCTCTGGCTTCCAGAAATCAAGATTGAGGAATAAATTTTACTACTACACAGCAGCACAGTCACGAAATGGAAACATCTTTTATTGTCAATAGTTTCTTGGCACTGCCCACATCCCTTTTTTCTCTTTCTTTTTTCGAAACAAGAGCTCACTACATATTCCAAGCTGGTCTCGTACTCGGGGCTGGGTACAATCCTGTCTCGACCTCCGGCGCGTTCAGATTACAGGCGTGCGCCACTGTGTGGGCACCGCGTTAAAGGACAAAGATACACAACATACACGCGATAATACGAGTTCTGTTTCCGTGTGGTGTACGCGAGCTCCCAGTGTCGGCCTCCTACCAAAACGGCAGTGCACAAGTAGTGCGGCTGGGGACAGCGGGAAGCAAGGTCAGTCGCAAGCCGAGGACACCAGACTAGGGCAGCCACCCACTCACCTCCTGATGATTCTCCACCACCCACACCGGGAGCTCGGGGTAGCGCCGCAGGGAGACGCGCGGTCCCGCCGAGTCACCCATGCCCACAGTTCCAGGCGCCGCGCGACCACCTAGAACGCCCAGCTGCTGCTCCACCGCCCTCCCGCGACGGAAACGCGCGCTCACCCGGTTGCGCTTCTGGATTGGAGGAGTAGAAGTTGGGGGCGGGCACCAGGGCGTTTGAAGTGGAGGATTGGTGTAAATGTCCATCGCTCTTGTTAATGCACCAATCACCGCATACAAGGCTCTGCGGCTAGCCGGAGTTTTCCCTCTGTGGGCCATAGCTTTCTCCAGTCGGCTTCTTAATTCTTTCGGCTTCCTGTTCCGGAGGCGCGGGCGGAGCTAGCGTCTTGGCGGCTGTACTGTTATCTTCACTTTGCTTTGACTGTTACCTGGAGGCCCTTAACAGGTTAATCGGGTTCCCTGTGGGAGTTAGAAGGAGTAGTGTTTCCGAGGGTCCGGATTTAAAGGAGGTGGAGTTCCTGCTGGGCAAAGAGCGCCAGAGGTTTGGGGTCCCACAGCTCTGCTCCAAATCTGCAGCTCGAAGCAAAGAGCGACCCAGGGCCCAGAGTCCGCAGGTGAACCGAAGCGGGATAGGTGCCTTTCATTCATTCGTGCAACGCACGCGAAGGGCCGGCCCGTGCCGCCGGGGAGATCCTAAGGGGGCGAGGCGAGAGCCAGCAATGGCCTCCTGGGGCGCGCGGTCTGGCGGGAGATGCGAGCTGGAAAACAGTCGCGGGCCATCCCGGGGACCGAGACCAGGCTGCTGATTCTTCCGGGGAAACAGGAATCTCGGTGAAACCGTGATTACCCTTTGCAAGCCTGTGTGCATTGACTCACTTTGCTGGACGCGTAACTGTTGCGAACAACCTCCTCGCTTTCCCTGCTTTCAGGCAGGTGGCAGGAGCAAACAGACGCAGAAATAGTTATTTCTCCAGTTGCAGCGAGTTCCTCGAGTTTTTGGTTAAAATTTGCATGCACAGCCTATTTATGTCTTTTAGTAGACTAACCTTCTGATCAGATTTTTTGACTGTAGGAACATCCAGGAGGGTTTGATAGTGAGTGTTCCGTTAATGATCCTGACTGTTGCCCACCTCTAACTCTATCATGCCCCTTTGTGATCCCTTAGGCCCCATGCCCCCTTTCTTGTACTTAATTGCATTGTGTTGTTTTCTTGTGTTGGAAATCCACTCTCCCCCGCCCCGTTAAACTCAGGGCCTTCACACTGTTTAAATCCTAGGTTTCTATTTTGAGACAGGGCCCGGGTAAGTTGCCCAAATTGGGCTCGAATTTGTAATCTTCCTGCCTTGGCCTCCCAGAATATTGGGATTACAGCCATGCATCATCACACATGACTGGTGTATTTTACTTTTAAAAAATACTTGGAATTTGGATTTTGCTTTTTGAGTTCCTTGAGCCTAGAAGGTTGTGTGTCTTACTCATCTTTGAGTGTATAGGGCTGGGCCAACACCTCAGATGAATAGGCTCATTAAATGCTGCATGGATCAGTGAAAAGATCTGTTTTGAGGCTTGTCCCCTATCCATAGTTTTGATAATGCAGATCTCTTGATATTCATGTAAGGGAAATGTACACTTGTGCCAAAGAAACATGTCGTTGGTGAGATAGTAAAATGTATTGACCATCTATTTGTACAGGAATTTCTGCAGGGGGCTGTGCTGAAGCTCTGCAGGGGGCTGTGCAGGATACACTGTGAATCAACCTGTGTCTTTGAGGAGCTGATCTAGTAGGAGTCCAGCATGGACACACATGACTACAGCGTGAGGCGCTCTCTGGTAAGTTCTATAAGAGAAAAATATGGACTAAGCCATGGAAGTCTAGAGGACATGGGATCACTTCCCAGAGTGTTAGGCAAGGCTTCAGTGAGGAAATAGGTGGATAGAAAAATCACTGGGAAGATTCATAGGATAAAGACAAGTTGATTGGTGGTATTTGGGGTATCAATCGTCTGGGAGAGTCTGGGATAGCAAAGGTTTTGTGGGGAGAATGACAGGATAAACCTGGAGAGAGACATGGGATTGACAGTCTATAGGATTTTCAGTTTCAGATAGACTTTGAACTTGATTCTGTTGCTGCTGAGTAGCTTGTGATGGTGGAATCAGCTGTCTGGGCCCCAGATTTATCCTGAGGGCATGGGAGTAAGAACTATTAGTGATATTATTTGGTACCCTCATATATTAAGCATAGTGATTGATACAGCTCAGTTATCTGCAATTATTTTTGAGAGCCATCTGAAAGTCTAATCTTAAGATAAACAGCCTTTAGAAAGATATTTGTGAATAAGAGATTTTTGTTTAATATTTACTTGATTTTTTAAAAAAGTATTTTGGAGTTCAGGTATTTAGAAGGTTGTTTTTGTTTTTTTGAAACAGGATCTCAAAATACAGTTTGTTTTCTGCAGTTTAGGCCATACTTAAACTTACTCTATAGCCCAGACTGGTTTTGAACTTGCAACAATCCTCTTGCTTCAGTCTCCCAAGTACTAGGATTATAGACATGTGGCACTACACATGACTAGAAAGTCATTTATGTTCATATGTTCTGTGGGATGAACTGAAAGTGAAAAAAAGGACTCACAAGTGTTGCATTAACAAGATTATAGTTAAATTTGAATTTGAGTGCTGGTCTCACTGTGCTGTTTGTGTTTGGTCTGTGTCTACCTTTTGCAAAGAAGAGAAACTTACCTGTGTAGGAGAGATGCGATGATTTCTTTCCTGTCTTGCAGCCTATTAGAGATAGCTTATGCCTATGCTTTTAGTTTTTTTACTGATAGTTTTGAGTCAGAGATATGCGATAAAAATATCTCAAAGTTTAGTTGCAAACATTCATGCAGTTTAATGCCTTAATCTTGTTGTAAGGTAAGTGCTTTGGAGAATGCAAGATCAGTGTTAAGGTAATTGCAGAAATAGCATTGGCAGTTTGGAAAATCCTTGAGTCTTGCTGTGCAGTTCAGGCTGGCCTTGAACTCACTTTGTTGCCCAGGTTGGTCTCGAACTTGTAATATTCCTCCTGTCTCAGGCTCCTGAGTGCTGGAATTATAGGCAGGCACCGTGGAAAAGTCTTTTATGTTTATTTCATTCTTTCTGTCCTTTAGAACTTATGTTCTCTGTGGAAGATGTGACATACCCAGATGGCACATCACAATGCAAGGCAATACATGGTGAGTGCTGGGAGTGGTGGTGATTCGGGAAAACAGAGAGGAAGTGGGACATGTGCTGAGGCATAGAGGGTGGGACGGATTTAGGTGCCAGGGAAGAGGGAATTGTGTTCATTGTTTCAACAATGGACACAACACAACAAAGGTTCGAGTATAGGCTGGAACCCAGACCACAGCAATGAACAGAACATTGCTGAATCCCTCCCTTGGTGGACTTTATAGCTCTAATGTATTGGGAGACAGAGGACAGAACTGTGAAGTTCCTTGTGAGATTGTGATTATTGTCGGGTCTGCCAGAGAAACATGTCTGCTGAGTTGTCGGATCACAACAGAGTATTTCGAGAGAAAGTAGTGAGGATCTGGGGCAGTGATGGGGCCATCAATAAGGTATCAGGGATATTTTTTAGTACCTAGGCAAGACATGGGGAGAAGTGGATGAATTGGGGAAAATTTAGAAGCAAAAATAGTAAGAATTTTATTTTTAAAAATACTTTTTATTAAGTTGTGTAGTTCTATACTTGATAGGTTTAGAATAAATTTCTTCCTAAATGGGGCTGGGCAGGAAAAGCTGGTAAATGATTCTCTGGTCTGTGTCGTAAGGAACAGTAAATGCTAAGAAAGGCGGTGGTGTTGTCTTGGAGGTGAGGATCATTAACACATTTAGTTGAATTTGTGGAGTCAGTGAGATGTTGAAGGAGAGAGGCCCAGTTGCTGGCTGGCAGTGTGGGTCTAGAGCGCAGAGGTGGATGAATGTGGACCCTCAGGAGGTGCGGATTCCCGGGTGCCTGAAGTGGAGCGAGGGGGTGGGCTCCCTTGGAGAGAATGAGCAGAGCACCCAGGCTGGAGTCCTGAAGAATAGCAAAGGGCCAAAGTTCCAAGCAGAGGAGGAGCTGGCACAGGAGATGGGCAGGAAGAGAAGCCAGAGATTAGAGAGCCCAGAGCAGGGGTGTTGTGTCAGGCAGCCAAGGAGAATCACCACGAGGATTGGGACAGCTGGACTGAATGCTGCACAAGCGTCAAGAAAGATGAGTAAAAGAGGCCATTGGTTTTCAAGGCACTGGGCCTTGTGAATCCGTGCAAATGAACTGATGGGTAGGGTAGCACACACGCTGGATATGACTGTACTTCGCAGACCCCCAGTACTCTGCCCAGTATGGTACTTGTTGAGTGAACACTGCATCTTGTCTGTACGTTGTGTAGGTAGATCTGTTGATAGTTGAGTTGGTATAGCACATGTATAGATTTTTTTCTTGTTATTATTTCCCATCAATTCTAGTACAACAACTACTTATATAGCATTTACACTGTTTTTTGAAGTGTTATAAGTGTAATCTAGAGGTTTTTTTTTTATTTTTTTATTTTGGTGCTGAGAATTCAATATGTGGCCTTACATAAGCTAAGCACGTGCTGTCACTGAGACATACCCCGGCCCATAGCTTAAAGTTTATGGGAGCATGCACATAGGTTTTCGGCAAACACTGTGCCATTTTACATGCCTTACATTGGACATCTTGCATTTTGGTATCTGCGAGGATGAGGGTCACAGCACCAATCTCCTTGAGTATTGAGGAATAACTGTACACTTTTGTCCTGTGTGGGCAGCCGTATCACAGTGACATAGATTGGCTGCCTTAAACAACTAACATTTTATTTGTCGCTTTTCTTGGCAACTAAAGTCAGATCAGGGTTCCTGCATGACGGTTCTTTTCCTGGGAAGGGCCTTCTTCTTGCTTAGAGCTGGGTGACTTCTTTCCTTATCCTCACCTGTCAAAGAGCTCTCCCGTCTCTTAATCTTTTCATAAAGACACTGTTCCCATCATGAGAACCCCTTGTGACTTATTGTCACCCTAATTACTCCCCAGAGCCCCTGACTCCGTATAGCATCACGTTGGTCTCCAGCATATGATTGTGGAGGAGGGCAACATTTAGTCCGTAGCAGC